CAAAAACATATCAAAAAAATTGTGCACCATGATCAAGTAGGATTCATCCCTGGGATGCAAGGCTTGTTCAATATACGGAAATCAATAAATGTTATTCACATCAATAGACTTAAAAATAAGAACCATATGATCATCTCGATAGATGCGGAAAAAGCATTCAACAAAGTACAGCATCCCTTTATGTTCAAAACTCTAGAAAAACTAGGGATAACAGGAACATACCTCAATATTGTAAAAGCAATCTATGCTAAGCCTCAGGCTAGCATCATTTTGAATGGAGAAAAATTGAAGGCATTCCCTCTAAAATCTGGAACAAGACAGGGATGCCCTCTCTCTCCACTTCTGTTCAACATAGTTCTCGAAACACTGGCCAGAGCAATTAGACAGACGAAAGAAATTAAAGGCATAAAAATAGGAAAAGAAGAACTTAAATTATCACTATTTGCAGGTGACATGATTCTATACCTAGCAGACCCAAAAGGGTCTACAAAGAAACTATTAGAGCTAATAAATGAATTCAGCAAAGTGGCAGGATATAAAATCAACACGCATAAATCAAAGGCATTCCTGTATATCAGCGACAAATCCTCTGAAATGGAAATGAGGAAAAACACTCCATTCACAATATCTTCAAAAAAAATAAAATACTTGGGAGTCAACCTAACAAAAGAGGTGAAAGACTTATACAATGAAAACTACAGAACCCTAAAGAGAGAAATAGAAGAAGATCTTAGAAGATGGAAAAATATACCCTGTTCATGGATAGGCAGAACTAACATCATCAAAATGGCGATATTACCAAAAGTTCTCTATAGGTTTAATGCAATGCCAATCAAAATCCCAATGGCATTTCTTGTAGAAATAGAGAAAGCAATCATGAAATTCATATGGAAAAATAAAAGACCCAGAATAGCAAAAACAATGCTAAGCAGGAAGTGTGAATCAGGAGGTATAGCGATACCAGACTTCAAACTATACTACAGAGCAATAGTAACAAAAACAGCATGGTACTGGTACCAAAACAGGCGGGTGGACCAATGGTACAGAATAGAGGACACAGAAACCAATCCACAAAACTACAACTATCTTATATTTGATAAAGGGGCTAAAAGCATGCAATGGAGGAAGGATAGCATCTTCAACAAATGGTGCTGGGAAAACTGGAAATCCATATGCAACAAAATGAAACTGAATCCCTTTCTCTCGCCATGCACAAAAGTTAATTCAAAATGGATCAAGGAGCTTGATATCAAATCAGAGACACGCCGTCTGATAGAAGAAAAAGTTGGCTACGATCTACATACTGTGGGGTCGGGCTCCAAATTCCTCAATAGGACACCCATAGCACAAAAGTTAATAACTAGAATCAACAAATGGGACTTACTCAAACTAAAAAGTTTTTTCTCAGCAAAAGAAACAATAAGAGAGGTAAATAGGGAGCCTACATCCTGGGAACAAATCTTTACTCCTCACACTTCAGATAGAGCCCTAATATCCAGAGTATACAAAGAACTCAAAAAATTAGACAATAAGATAACAAACAACCCAATCAACAAATGGGCCAAGGACCTGAACAGACACTTCTCAGAGGAGGACATACAGTCAATCAACAAGTACATGAAAAAATGCTCACCATCTCTAGCTGTCAGAGAAATGCAAATCAAAACCACCCTAAGATACCATCTCACTCCAGTAAGATTGGCAGCCATTATGAAGTCAAACAACAACAAGTGCTGGCGAGGATGTGGGGAAAAGGATACACTTGTACATTGCTGGTGGGACTGCAGATTGGTGCAGCCAATTTGGAAAGCAGTATGGAGATTTCTTGGAAAGCTGGGAATGGAGCCACCATTTGACCCAGCTATTCCCCTTCTTGGTCTATTCCCTAAAGACCTAAAAAGAGCATGCTACAGGGACACTGCTACATCGATGTTCATAGCAGCACAATTCACAATAGCAAGACTGTGGAACCAACCTAGATGCCCTTCAATAGACGAATGGATAAAAAAAATGTGGCATTTATACATAATGGAGTATTACTCTGCATTAAAAAATGACAAAATCATAGAATTTGCAGGGAAATGGATGGCATTAGAGCAGATTATGCTAAGTGAAGCTAGCCAATCCCTAAAAAACAAATGCCAAATGTCTTCTTTGATATAAGGAGAGTAACCAAGAACAGAGTAGGGAGGAAGAGCAGGAGAAGAAGATTAACATTAAACAGGGATGAGAGGTGGGAGGGAAAGGGAGGGAGAAGGGAAATTGCACGGAAATGGACGGAGACCCTCAGGGTTATACAAAAGTACATACAAGGGGAAGTGAGGGGAAAGGGAAAAATAATACAAGGGGGAGAAATGAATGACAGTAGAAGGGGTAGAGAGAGAAGAGGGGAGGGGAGGGGAGGGGGGATAGTAGAGGATAGGAAAGGCAGCAGAACACAACAGACACTAGTATGGCAATATGTAAATCAATGGATGTGTAACTGATGTGATTCTGCAATCTGTATATGGGGTAAAAATGGGAGTTCATAACCCACTTGAATCAAAGTGTGAAATATGATATATCAAGAAACATGTAATGTTTTGAACAACCAACAATAAAAAAAAAAAGAAAAAAAAAGAACATAGATAATAGTAAAATGTAGTAAAAAGTAGGAATTGTGAGTTTTGGCTATTTATTGTCATTGGTTTGGATGTAAATTTATATATGTTATTATAATTATACTATTATTATTATTTTGCAGTACCAGGGATTAAATTCCAGGCTTCATACATGCTATATCCCACTGAGCTATATCCCTAGTAATATAACTTAATTTTTAATAATGGCTGGATTAAGCCAGGCATGGTGCATATACTTGTAATTTCAACTACTCAGGAAATTGAGGCATAAGGATCTCTTGAGCCTAGAAGTTTATTGCCAGCTTGGACAACACAGCAATACCTTGTTTCTGTTAATAAACAAATAATAAAATAATGATAATAATGGCAGGACTTAAAGACCAACTTGTAAACTTCCTGAACACTTGCCAATAGGCCCAACTCCAGCCCACCATTGGATATGGGGTCATGGAAATATACTCTGAGGAGGGGACTCCTAGCTGAGACCTGAAGAATGTGAGAGGTAAACTGACTGGTGGAGGGAAGAAGTTTCTGGGCATAGGAACAGTATATGTAGAAATCCCAAAGTCCAGTAATCTTGGGCAATAACATCTCTGTTAGTTGGCAAAAGAAGAGACTGGTAAAGGGGTTGACAGAAATGTGAAGGAAACCACAGAAGAGCTACACTGGTTTCTCAGTTGTATGAGAACTAGTTCAATTAAAAAATAAACCACTTATAAACAAATATATTCCAAAAGAAGTTGTGATCCATACTCCTCACAGCCTATCCAAAGCTGTGCCTCTGATGAACAGAATCCTGGATTTGTTCATTATCCACTCTTCAGAGATGGTGACTCAGTTCTGAGGTTAAATCCCAATTAACCTAAAACTGACTTGGGACCCCTCCTGCTTGCCTGTGACTAATTTCAACAGGGGCATGTGGAGAAGGCCTGGCCAGTGAGAAGCAGGTGGGGGCCTCCTGGTGGCTCTGGGAAGGTTTCTCAACCCTCACAAGAACACAGCAGGATGAGATGTTTCTCTTGTGTTCCTGGCAGCTGTCACTGCAAATGTCTTGTTAGAGAGCAAAAAGAGAACCCAGCACCCTGGGCTCTTCACTCTATTTGAGATTATTGTTTTTTTTTTTCATTTGAACCCATTGAGTCAGGAATCTGAGTAGCTCGCTACCAAGGACATACTGACCAGGAGAGGTTGTGGTGTATCTTGAAGGGTATGACATTTTTTTTTAAATAGTTTTTTTAGTTGTGTATGGACTCAATGCCTTTGTTTTTATGTGGTGTTGGATCGAACCCAGTGCTTCACACTTGCAAGGCAAGTGCTCTGTAACTGAGCTACAATACAACTCTAGCCCTGAGGAGTATGACTTTTTCCCAAATTATCATGTGGGGCTGTGTCTGATCTATAGACTGTTAACTATCTCCCCAGTGTAGGTCAAGTGTCATGCAATGAAAATATTCCAAAGGTAATTTGAAAAGGGCATAGGAAGAAAAGTGAAAAAATAAAATAAAATATTATTGGTAGGAAACAAATATGTAGAAGGCAAAGAGCATCAAATCATGACTTGTTACTAAAACAAATGTTTCTAGAGGCTTCACTTCCTGCTATATTATACTGGGGCTGGAGGGGTCATGCTAAGTTAGGAATCAGTGCCCAAAACATGTTTACGAAAGGTGAAGTCTCCTTACCTTTGAAGAAGGGTTTGTTATCCTCCCTGTCACCCCTCTGTGGAATCAGCTGAGTAGCTGCTAGAATATGTTGGAATTGGAATTCAGTGTGGCTGTTAGGCATTGATGAGGCATTTCCCAACCTTTTCAATTAGAAGTATGGCCCACCCACTGAGCTCCTTTCTCCATTTATTTATCTGAATATTCTAATGTCAAATGTGTAGAGGAGAGTTTGTGCAGCTTACAGATGTGCTGTCAAGCAGTTGCATTCCCAACATAGGCACGTTTTTTAAGGAAAAAGTCAGGTTTTCTCCCTGACACTATCTGAGCTAAGATTCATTATAATCCTTAGTTTGTTACAGATGTTTTTCTTTCAAATATCTTGTAAGTCTAAGAAAGAAGTTATCTGAATGTTTTCCTGTGACAGTATGCTTTAAAAGTCACTTGCTGTGACTTTGGGAATATTATGTTAGAATGACAATTATGGTAGCATCAGGACAGAATTACTAAGAGTTTGTTGGGAACATTTGAAATTAATGATCCTTTAACATTGTTATTATTTCAGTTTCTTTGAAGTTCCAAAACTGTTCCCTTTAATGTTATCACATATTCCCTCACTACATTTAAGACAAGTTTCTTCCCAACCTTTTCAATTGTCTTTGAGAAAATTAAATGCTATGATTACTGGAACTGAATTTAGGGCCCAAGTTTTATTTACCTGTATAAAATTGCTCTCTAACATGGGAGGAGACACAAAAGGGGCATATTCTCCTCCATCCAACATATTTTGAAGATCTCCTGGACTGCAAGGTTGTGGGGCGCAGAGTGCATCTTGCTCATTGGTCGACTTCCTATTGATTTTCTTCATTATGCTTATATGCAAACATCAAAAAATTGAAGGAATGGAAGTGCAATTAATGAATACAGAGAGAATATAATATAATTAAGTTGGCTCATTTTTCATTAATTCAGCAAATTTCATCAACATCATGATATGCTTGGCATTTTGCCAGGCACTATAGATACATCTAAATAGGACTGATAGGATCCCTCATGTAGTTTATATGCTATGGGGTGACAGATAGTAAGCACGCCAAAAAAGTGTGTGGGGGGATTGGATAATAGGAACTATAAAGACCATAAAAGAGATATCTGTAATAAAGGTGGCTGAGATCTGTGGCTGGCAACAACACCTATAGGGTAATTAGGAAAGACCTTTCTAGGAGTTTTCTCAATATATACCCTTTCTCCAAATATAATTTCTTACCTCTGTAACTAATGATCCCACTGTACTTTATGTCATCCAGTGTTCTCTAATCCTTTTTTGTGAGTAGGATATCGAAAGTAAACTAAACTGGTTAGCTTCCTGTTCTAAACTGAGAACACTTCTTTCATGCTATTCATCTATGACTGAGGCTTAGCTTTTGGTTGAGAGGAACTGGTGGACATTTGTTTGCTGTCTAACTCTAGTGCTCTCTCTCTCTCTCTCTCTCTCTCTCTCTCTCTCTCTCTCTCTCTCTCCCTCCCTCCCTCCCTCCCTCCCTCCCCCTGAAAACCACTTCAACAGACAACAGTGACTCTATATATTTGGATTTCACCTTTCACTTATCAGAAATAACAATTCTTAACAGAGTAAGAACCCAGAATGTAGTGTGATCAGACATTAAAAAAATCACCTTTCCCACTTAAACAGATATTCCTCCAAAGATACACAAATGGCCAATAACCACATGGATAGATGCTAAATATCACAACTCCAATAATACATCATATCCTTCAGGATTACTGCTATTACAAAGAAAGAAAGAAAGAAAGAAAGAAGGAAGGAAGGAAGGAAGGAAGGAAGGAAGGAAGGAAGGAAGGAAAAGAAAAGAAAAGAAAAAGAAAAAGAAACAGGACTGGGGGTGTAGAGTGCTTGTGTAACATGTAGAATGCCCTAGGTTCAATCCCCAGTACTGGAGGGAAACAAACAATAAACAAACAAACAAACAACAACAACAACAACAAAAAACCCAGAAAATAAAATTATTGGCAAGGATGTGAAAAAATTTAAATCCTTGTGCACTGTTGTTTGGAATATGAAATAGTATGGCTGCTATGGAAAACAGTATGGTGTTATCTCAAAATACTAAACATAGAAATGCCACATAACCCAGCAATTCCAGTTCTGGGAATATACCCAGAAGAATTGAAATCAGAGCCCTGAAGACATATTAGTACACTCATATTCATAGCAGTAATATTAACATCAGTTAAGATGCAGAAACAACTTAATGTCCATTGGAAGATGAATGAGTAAACTAAATATCTCTCTCTCTCCCTCTCTCTCTCTCTGTCTCACACACTCACACATACACACACACACACACACAGGAATATTATGCAGCAAAAAAGGAAGGAAATTCTGACACACACTACAACATGAATGAAACTACTTGAGGACGTTATGCTAAAGTGAAATAAGCCAGTCACAAAAAGATAAATGCTCAATGATCCCACTTATAAGGAGGTGCCTAGAATAGTGAAATCATAGAGGGAAAGTAGAATGATGGTTGCTAGAGGAACAGAGGATTGGAAGATGGGGAACCAGTGTTTATAAAAAATGTTTCAATTTTACAACATGAAAAGAGTTCTGGAGATGAATGATGGTGATTGTTGCAACATCATTGTAAATCATTTAATGCCACTAACATATATTCTTAAATATAGTTAGGGTGACAGTTTCCTTCCTCAGAGACCCTTCACCCAAGCAAAAGGATAAGTAGTGAGCATGTTTGTTGTGGTCCCAGCCAGGACTGCAGGATACAGAGACCTCTGCTGCCAGATGTGCTCTGAGCAAGGGCTTTGGGCACAATAAGCTGTGGCCAAGGCACAATTATCCCCATCAGACTTTCCACTGGTGGCAACTTCATGGCACCCCTTGACCACATCTTATGCATGTACAGGGAAAATCAAAGAGTCAAGAAGAGCAAGAAAATAAAGAAATTGAAATAATCCATACGAACAGAAATGTGATGGGACTGGGGATGTGGCTCAAGCGGTAGCATGCTCGCCTGGCATGCGTGTGGCCCTGGTTCGATCCTCAGCACCACATACAAAGAAAGATGTTGTGTCCGCTGATAACTAAAAAATAAATATTGAAATTCTCTCTCTCTCTCTTTAAAAAAAATATGAAAATCAGACCCCAAAAAGAACATTCAGAAAAAAAAGAAGAGATAACAACCACCACCACCACCACCTAAAAACAAGAGGATGAAAAATAATAATTAAAAGAATGTCTTTAGTGCTTGTTAAGTGGCAAGAAATAAAGGCTTTAATGCACTCTCTCATATAATTCAGAAAACACTATGAAATAACAGCATTAAGACACTTACTTAAGGCAACTGAGACTTAGAGAAATTAACTTCCCAACATAACATAGCCTGGAAGTCCCCAAACCAGGATTCAGACCCTCCTAGCAAACTAGAAGAGCTCATGTTGTTGCCCAATGTTCCGCCCTGCCTGAGGTGCTTGGAGAGGTGGGTGTGAGAACTGGAAAGGGTGAGAGGTGGAAGGAGGAAAAGAGGACAAAAGAATACAGAAAGCACCCTTCCCCTCTCTTCCTGTTCCCTCCTCTTCCTGAGCAATAGAGCCCTAAATGTGTTGGTGGGACAGAGAGAGAGAGGTAGGAATCTGTGCTGGAAGAAGCGGGAAGCCTCAGTTCAGAACCTAAGGAAGGAAGAACTTTCCCCATCCCTTCTACACATGCCCTGCTCAGCTCAGACTCTCCTATCAGTTCATACATCTCCTCTAAAGTCTAGAAAAGCTGTTCCTGTGGGCAGACCTCAGGAGTGAGGAAGGGAAAAAGAGAACTTGGAAAGGGAAGAGGAAAAGGAAGGGAGAGAGAAAGGGAGGAAGAGAGCAAAGGGCAAGAGTAGGAGTGGCACACCCTGTGCATGTCACACCCACAGGACTGTCAAATCTTACCTCCACTCAGGACTGAACCACATCTTCTTTTGGAAAAGAAGTTTGTTACTCACTTCAGTTTGGGCTTCCTCCTTTTCATAATGAAACCTTTTGTGAAAGAATCAAAAAGAAAAGTAAAGTATTTAGCAAGGAAGCTAATTTCATTCCCCACTTCTATTTCATATTCGAGGTCCATGAGTCAGTCTTCTAACTATACTATACTAGGGTGAGACCTGGTCGGAGAGGGCTGTTGTCGATTATCCTATTTATGGTCTGTGAGTAGAACTGGAGTCATGAGTCCCTAGCTCATTGTTGGCCTGAAACTGCCAAACAGGGAAATCCTGGGCTCTTGTGGCCAAGGAAGATATTTGATAATGTGGCAAAGGAAGTAATATCAATTGTACTACCTGGGTGTGTTTAATTGCCATTAAAATGTGTTCTTGTGATTCCCTGAAGCTTTTTGTTGTCAACTTCTGTTAAGACCAAGAATGTCTCAGTACAAAACCAACAGACACATGTCAGAGACTTGGATGAAGTTCCTAGGATAGCCCTTTAAGAAATGTGCAGAAGATGATGGCAGAGAGGAACAACAGGTAGATATTGTAAGGGAAAAGTCTAAGTAAAAAGAAGCATCAAGTTATATGATTAACAGCATTTTTTTCTTTCTTAGTGATCCATAAAATAGTATCATGTCTCATCATGATCTTGAGGAAATGCAGTAGTCAGCTGGTTCATCCAGAGGTAGGTGATGGACCTGGGGACATAGGGCAGTGTCAAAGCACTTGCCCAGCATGTGTAAGACCCTGGGTTCGATCCTTGTGCCACACAAACACAAAAAACAACAATAAAAACCCAGAGGTGGGTGATGAAGTACACATTTTTGAAAAGAAAAGAAAAAAAACCCACAACATTCCAAAAAAAGTGAAAACATCCATGTGTTGGAGGGTATGTCTACTTTTTACAGATACTTGCTAATCAGTAGGTGCCACATGGTCACTGGGTCTAGGGAGTGTTCCTTCTCAGTGCAGTTATTTATGTGGCCACAAGATCCCTTGGATTTAAGACCTAGTCCTCCAGAGATCAGTTGAACAGATGATCTCCCAGGGGAGCTGGTGGACACAGAGAGGAAGGAGAAGATGAGAGAAAGGGAAGTGATGGAAGTAAAGCAGGAAATCTGCAGCCATAAGGGGGTGTTGCCCCTATTTTTGAACTCTGGCACAAAGGTGAGGTCAGCTAAGGGGCAGAAAATGTTACAGGCTCTTTTATAATGTGGTGTGATGACTTTTGTTTCTATATATTTTTTCTAGAATTATTTTGAATTTTGGACTAATGGTTAAATTTTGATTAGTTTTGTTGTAACTATGATTTTATGTTATCTGTAAATTGTACTGTCTGACCTCTCCAATTTTGTGTGTGTGTGTATACACACACACACACACACTCACACACACAGATATATATATGTGTATATATATATATATATATATATATATATATATATATATATATATATATATTATATATTTGGTCTACAATAAAAATATATATGTATTTTGGTCTACAATATATAGATGGTCTAAACATAAAACTCAAAATAAAAAAAACTAAATTTTAATATTTAAAGACTAATTACATTAAGGCATGACAAATGTATATATAATGGAATTATAATACTTACCTGTTGAACAAATTTGTAAATTAAAGCAGAGGAACAAAGCAGGATTTCTACAGACTGTTGTGGGGAAGCAGAGTTAGCTTTATTCATGGATGTACAGTATGTTTTGGTTTTGAGGTCCTGGAGCAAACCCAGGGTCTAACACCCCCAAGTACACTACCACTGAGCTACACCCCCAGCCCCAGAATCTTTTGTTATAAGGTTCTACCAGGATTATGTATTAATTTTCCCAGTCATAGTTTATATTTTCCCCCCAATTTATGCCTTTTGCATGGTCCATCCAACACCCTATACATTTAATTAGTAAGCAAGAAATATACATAATAATATCATAGATAAGGGCTTTAATTATGCTATAGAGCAAGGACTGCACAAAGGAATCTAATTTTATTTGAGAGGGACCCTGACTTATCCTATCACTAGAAGATCCTTAGTCTCTGTTATTTCGTTTAGCTAGTGCTTCAGTCATTTATTTAGTAGACAGTTCCATTGGGCTGTATTTTTCTGCAGAATTGTAGTGTAATTTTCACCTGAAAAAGCATTGTTGGCTTTTTTAGTTAAAGAAAAGGCAGAGAGATCCCATATTAAATCTGATTATAGACCACAAATCATTGCCTGTCACGCACTGGAAACCTATCGCAGTTGTCAGGAGGGGAGCTCCTTCAGCTTTGCCCCTGACTCCACGTGGTGCTGCTGTCCCTAGGACTTCCCCATCTGTGCTTATTGTTTCAAGAATGACCAAGGCCTGTTAAGGATGAGTACAGTATTGGTATGGGGTATATGAATACTGCATTGATGGTCGGGTAT